CGGAAGATGAAGACCTTGAGAACAAAAGAGATCGCTCTAGTTAAAGTTCTTTGGCGTAATGACAAGATAGAAGAAGCTACATAGGAACAAGAGGATACTATGAGAGCGAATTATCCTGAGTTATTCTAAGTTTTGAGGACGGAACTTTTTAAAGGTGGGAGGGGTTGTAACACCCATTTTTCTAACTAACAAAATTCCTAGAAATAGACGTTAGGAATTAACTTGAATAATCTTATGGTATTATATTTAGTGAATTCTAACATCACTTTGAGTTATATTTTACAGGTGAACGCGACGAGGACTCGAGGTGCTAAGAACAAGTTCATGCCATTTTATAGAAATTATATATATGTTCATGATATGATGCACTTCATGTTATAATGTATGGAATTAAGTGTCTTAGGAAAATTCTAAGTTTTTCCTTGATTTTTCTTGTTAGACAAAAGAACCATTTTCATGACGTTAATTTCCAGCTCTATTTTGGACCTTTAAAATTCTGAAATTATTCCCATTAGTTTATACAAAGTTGTAGAGCTTTTCATAAGCTTTTCAACGCCTTCTCATTTGCGCAAATCGGACATCGGATTAAGAAGATGTGGCCAGTATACCATCCGGATATCCAGTAGTCTCCGACCAGGTTACTGCACGCGAATAAGAACGGAAATTCTAGAAGTTGACCTAACTCTTTTATTTGCCTTCCGCATGATTTTACACCCTAATGACAGCCATTCCCCCAACTGTTAAGGTGTGATTTCATCACAGAATTAATCCTCAATTAATATCAAATTAATCCCTTTTAATTTTATATGATTTATGAGCCAATAAACATTTTCAAGCTCTTACTCTCTCTTCCCCTCTTTCTTCTTCTTTCTTTCACGTCCAAGAACACCACAATAGAGAGTCTCCAAGACCAGCCATCAAACCTCCATTATTTTAACCCCTTTTTGTAAACCTTTGGTTCTTCTAAGCCACAATCAAGAAGATTTCAAGGTATGTTCCATCTCTAATTTAGTATTCATGGTTATTAGGTGATTTCCATTGGTGTTGGGTGTTGGTTTAAGGAGATAAGGAATAATTTTCTTTGGTTGAAGATTGAGGGATGATATATGTGATTTAGGTGAGGTTTTAATATTCATGGCCGTATGTTTTATTTTTTGGGATAATCATGTATGACACGGTTATTGTTTTGGGTGTTTTGGTGTCTTCATAATTTGATAAATTCTAGAGAGGCATGTTAAGAATTATGTTATTTTCTTATATTTTTGTTTCCTTTTTATGTTATAAATGGTGATTTCATAGAAACATGAGTTAGCATATTGTTTTTGGATTCGAGTTGCAAGATATGTGAATTTTGATGGTCATATTGATGTTTCTAGTTCGCTTTGCCATGAGAATTTTTATAGAATGTGTAATTTGAATGTTTTAGGAACATGTCTTAGGGTTGGTTAAAGTATACATATGGTTGGAATTGATTTTATCTTTAATGAATTTATTTTGGTATTTTCGGAGTTTACTGTGTTGGAATTTTCTGCCTAATATGATCAGAGTTTAAAACAGTGTTTGAGGGACCAAACGAACTCCGTTTTTAACAAATAAGATGTTAGAAAGATCTTGATTTCTATTTTCATTTGGCACCAGTTTCAGATCGTTTTGAGTTTTCTATGATTTGTTATGAACTTTTAAAGAAATAAAGGTCAGGCTGTCAGTTTGTAAGATTTAGAAAATTGGTGTAATTATTAGGATTTTTTATGTCTTGATGTTAATGAATGGTGAGAATGGTATATTAGATGTTGTTCTAATGTGATCAATGTATTTGATGAGTTATTAAGGCTTTTTAGTAATCTTATTTATGATTTATGGCATGAACGATTCTAGAGGCGAGCACCCGAGGACCTCATTCATCGCGTCACCGTTGCGAAATTTAAAAAGGTTAAGTAAGTACACTCTCACCTGCAACATGAATTGAAGAATTGAAAAGTATATGATTTTGATGTTTATGATGATGTTATGACACCTTTAATATTTCATATGATGACGTTTTGAAGAAAAATGTATATATGTATTTTTATGTTTTAAATGGCGTTGTATACCCTTGATGGTGACCGGTGAGCGGTTTTATTGCCACGGTTAGTATGGGATTTGCTACCCCATGCTTTCCGTGGCTAGCGCGCTATGATGGTACAACGTCGGGCCCAATATATGATGAATTTTTAAGTTTAAACGTGTTCAAAAGTAATTATTCTCATGATGATATTTATTGTTGATGAATAAAAATGTTCATTTAAATTTGTGAGAATTAAGTGTCTTACTAAGTCATTGCTTATATAAGTTATTTCATGTTGCAGACAATCTAAAAGGTAAGATGTAGCCATGGAGAATCTTGGAGCAGATGCTAGCGGTGTGTGATAGGAAAACGGGAGAAACGATCATGAGATGAAAGTGTTTAATGTTAAACAAGGTTTTTAGTTTTCATTTTTATTGTTTTTTTTAAGATCTTTTTTTTTTAGTTTATTTTACGATATGGATTTTTATAAATGAGTTGAATCTAAAGATCATTTTTCGTTGATGAGGTTTAAAAATTTTTAAAGTTATAATATGTTTTAAAAAAAAAACCTGGGTTTTTCTTTAAGTCATTCAAAGTAAAGTGTTTCAAGTTTAACTATTTTTTTTTTCGCATTCTTTAAGAGGTAAATGTTGAAAAGTTAAGATAACTGTGACGATCCGTGAGGGGTCGTGGCACTATCTCCATCCTACATCGGCCATACTTGATCAGCTTAGAGACCCAGACTATTTGGCATGCACTCTACAATACATGCGTAGGTGGAAGCCTTATCTTGTATAAAGGTAGTTTGTCTCTTTGTAAGATAAGTCAAAAGTAGAATAGAGGTGTCTATCCCTTTATAAAATTATCAAAAAGTTGTTTCGTCTTTTTCTAAGAACTTTCAAAAGTAGAATAGTAATGTTGGATAAGAATCTTATCTTGTAAAAAGTAGTTCGTCATTTTGTAAAAAATGTCAAAAGATTTGCATTATCTTGTCGGATAAGGATCTTATCTTATAAGTTTTGTAACTAAGCTTCAGCTATAAAAGGCGAAGCTCTCATCCTGCTTGAGGCAGAGTTTCTCAAGCAAAGAACATTGTATACACTTCTCAGAAATAATATTCTCTCTACAATGAGTTTTTAAATCACTGTTTTTCTTCTCTGAAATTCTAAGTTTCTTCCTCTGTGTTATAATAGTTCTCCTCCTGAGTAGTATGCTCTGTGCTTGCCTCTAGTAGAGGACCCTGCACATCAGAAAATTTAAATCTAAGATCCTTGCTACGATCTCTATAATCATAAATGGTTAAATATCTGTGATCACTAAAGGCCTAGAGTTATGGTGGACAAGATGGCTATACAGTGATACAGGTCCTTGGTTCTTATTGTTTTTGGAGCTCTCGGCCAGTATTCGTTAATCATTGTCAGAGGTTTTAATATTGAATTTAGAAACCCCATTTGAATAGTTAAATTTTAAATTAAATTGAGCTTTAGGTAGATAAAACATAGGATGTTTAGGACTCATCAATCAGTTGAAAGAACATTTTCATATATCTTCCTAATCTAATTAGCGAACTTACTGACACTGATAATCAAATGAAATTGAAAGGATCTTTTTATGTCGCTGATAAATTATTCCATTTTCATATTGTCTTGTCGCATTATAGGAATTTTTGGTTGTACAATTAAATGTATTAAATGTATAATAGGAATTCACAAATATATTAAATGTACAATTATTTGTTTCAGCTTTACGTTGATCATTTGTTGCTATAGAGTTATGATCTAATTTCCTGTTCCAGTTAATTTGCCTTCATTAGATTCGGAATGATTTTTATATCATTCTTTCACATGTATTTTTACATTTTTCTTCAGATTGGTGCATAAAATGGGGAGCCTTAATACTTAAAGAAAAAGAGGTTGGTATTGTAATTTATCCGACGAGAGAAGAGAACTTTACAATAAGAAACGAAGAGAAGCTTAAGCACAGAAGAAACTATTAGAAAACCAAGATAATGACCAAAGAGAAAGGTGTGTCGTTGCTTTTGCAAGACATGAAGAAGGTGAGAAAGTTTTCAAATTTATGTATGGTTTTTATTTTCTCTTACAGAAATATATTCTTAACTTAGAAACAATATTAAGAATCATATGAAATTTCCTTCAGCTTCAACTTCTACTCAAATAGAGACTTCTACTGTCAATATTAACAATACTTTTGTTTTCATGTCATTTGGTGTTAAATATCATAAGGATTTGTGTAAAGAGAAACAAAGGAATATATACATTTCGAGTTCAAGGCTGGTTATATCATTTTATAAACGAGTTATTACCATCAAATGAACAACCTTCATATCTACAATTGTATTTTTATGACACTGAGCATGAGTTGGAATATCGAATGTGTAATTCAAAGAAGATGAATCCACTTATCCTAAAAAAATTATGGATATGCTAAAAGTGAATCCCTATTGTCGTTTTTTTCGACACTTGAAAGATATACCTGATCTTGAGCACTGTGAAATCCTCATACATTCAGATGCAGGATTAGATCAACGAGTTTACAATGTTCCTTCGGTTTCTCAAGTTGCAGCAATATGGGTAGAGAATGGTTCTTCAGAAAAGCGTCAAGGTCCTCACATTGTCGTTCATGGTCATACAGGCTTTTCACATAAAGTTGAATATTATTTTGGTTGTTACGATCCCCTTCAATATCCTTTATTGTTTCTTTATGGAGAGAATGGATGGCATCGAGGTATTCCGATTGAACAAAAAATCAATGCTCAAACATTGCCTTGAGCAAAACCAAAATATTTCAGATCAAGTAACATCTTCTGCAGATTTTTTACAAAGAGACGCATCAGGTGTTATATTGTGAAATTTAAATTTAGTTCCACGTTTATTTTTAACATCTTTATCTATGACACTTGTTTTTGTCTCGTGCGAAAAAAAAAAAAGAAAAAAAAAAAAAAGATGATGTTTCTTGTCGAGATTACTACTGTTATAAATTGCAGGTTAGATCAACAGAAACATCATTGTTGTTGCACTCAGGTCGCCTTCTACAACAATATGTTGTTGACATGTATGTAAAGTTGGAGACATCAAGATTATACTATTTTCGGAACAACTAACATGATTTTCGAGCTGAATTAAAACAAGGAATTACTGATAGTATAGAAGGTGGTGAAACTCAAGCATCTAAAATTGGACGTCGAATTATTTTACCATCATCATTTATTGGAGGACCCAGAGATATGAGAAAAAGATATATGGATGCCATGGCGTTGGTTCAAAAATTTGGAAAACCAGACATATTTTTAACAGTGACCTGCAATCCTATTTGGCTTAAGCTTAAGCAGAACTTACCACCAAACACTGAAATACAAAATAGACCAGAGTTGATTGCTCGTATTTTTAAATCAAAATTAGAAGAGTTGAAAATTGAATTATTTGAGGAGCAATTATTTGGTCCAGTAACTGCATTTGTTTATGTAATTGAATTCCAAAAAAGAGGCCTTCCACATGCTCATTACTGGATAATTTTTACACCAAAAGGAGAACTCATGCACCTGAAAGTTTTGACAAAATTGTATCAGCTAAGATTCCTAATGAAAATCAAAATTGTCAATTATATAAAATGGTTCTTAAACATATGATGCATGCTCCTTGCGGTGATTTAAATCTAACCAACGTATGTATGCCAAAAAAAGGTACTTGTAGAAACCATTATCCCAAATCATACTGTTCCACAACAACTTATGAAAAAAACTCTTTTTCCAATATGTAAACGTCGAAATGATGGCAACAAAGTGAAAGTCAGAGGAGCTTATTAGACACTCGTTGGGTTGTTCCCTATAATCCATATTTACTTGCAAAGTTTGACTGTCACCTCAATGTAGAAATATAGTCCACAATTAAAGCAGTAAAATATTTGTACAAATATATCTATAAAGGTCATGATCGAGTTGCTTTTAATTTGGCATCTACAAATGACTCAAATATAATTGATGAAATTGAAAACTTCCAATCTGCAAGATGGATTTCTCCCCCAGAAAGTATGTGGAGAATTTATGGTTTTTCTTTAAATGAAATTGATCCAGCTGTTTATTCATTACATTTAGATCTTGAGGATAAACAGTTAATCACCTTCAAGAAAAAAAGATAAGCTTTCTGATGTAGCTAAATTAGATTTATTCACAAGAACAATGCTGACTGACTATTTCAAATTGAATCAATGTAGCGAGACTGCAAACAAAATTATTGTATAAAGAAATCCCTCAATATTTTGTCTGGAATAGGCAACATAAGATGTGGATTCCAAGAAAAAGAGGTAAAGTTATTGGTAAAATTGTGACGGCACATCCTACAGAAGGTGAAAGATATTATTTAAGAGTATTGTTAAATCACATTAAAAGTGCACTTCATTTGATGCTCTTAAAACATTTAATGGCACGAAAGTTGCATCTTTTTGTGAATCAGCTCTTTGACAAGGCTTATTAGATTCAGACAACACTTTAGAAGAACGTTTGGAAGAAGCTTCCACATGTCAAATGCCTTATACTCTTCATCGACTATTTGCAACAATTTTGGTTTATTGTAAACCTACCAATTCTCGAAGCTTATGGAAAAGTTCAGAGCACCAATTTCTGAAGATTTTGCTCGTTCAGGTTTATGCTCAAATGAAATAGAAAAGAAAGTATTAGAACATCTTTGTTTAGTTCTTGAATCAATGAGTAGTGACATCAATGACTACAAATTAGTTGATTATTCAATTAAGCTAAATGAAGATGACTAAGGAATGAGAGAAATAAATGATGAATTGAAAATAGCAGTGCCTGAAGGAGATCTTTTGCTACCAGATTCATTAACTTTTTAGCAGAAACGTGCTGATGATATGATATTAGAGCGAGTCTTTGAACAACTATCTGGAGCTTTTTTCATTGATGGTCGTGGAGGAATTGGAAAAATATATCTGTATAGAGTCATACTCGCTACAGTTAAATCAAAAGGAATTATTGCACTTGCCACGTCATCATCTGGAGTGGCTACATCAGTATTACCTGGTGGTCGTGCTGGACATTCAAGATTTAAAATTCCTGTTAACAATGAAAAAGAAAATTCATGTTCTGTCAGCAAAAAATCAAACTTGGCAAGGTTAATTCAAAATGCAAGGCTAATAACAATTAAATAGTACTCGTAAACCAACAAGTCCATCTCATAATTATAAACTCTAGTGTTATTTCACTAAAAGCCAAAAGTTACACTTTTAATTCATATAGTATATTTACAAAGCTCCGAATAGCTCTTGTCCACGACTAATTATATTAGTGTATCATCCCCATAAGATATCCATAATCGACTTAAGGCCAAATTTTGTTTTACGTTTCCGATTATATTTATCTTATGTTCCATTACCACTCCATTGAAAAACCACTATTCGTACCAATATAAATAATAAACAATTAGATAATATAAATTAGTCTAATGGTCGAGCGCTTGTATTTTTCAATTCACGGATAATGCCATAAGAAGATATCATTGACTCTTTATAGGAGCTATGGATTCTCTGTCTATGAATAATAAATCTACGCACATAAGAGTCATACTCTCAATGTACCAGTACGCGTACATTTACCTAATGTCAGGATGTCTCCCTTTGGTATATCAAATAATACAAGTCAAGCATACGAGTTTATTATTCATCTCAGGATTAAGATGACTACATATAATTCGTCAAAAATGAATTGTTTTGTTCAAACAGAATTATTCATTAAAATAATTCAGCTTTGGTCCGATCTAATATAGATTCCACCACTAGGAACTATTTAATGTCTCTACCCATGCAGTCCCACCTCCGACAACCAAGACAAGCCGTCTCTGTTAAGAAGTAGACAACATAACAATCTTAACATGAATAAAGCGCCCAACTTTATTCACTTAATTGTGGATTATATTATTTAGACTATCATCTTTAGATTCCTATTTTCTGCATGTTCTTCTCATTACATGCACGATTTAAAGACTTAGAACGACGGTTTTAGACTTCCAGTTTGCTTATCATACATTCAACTAATATGAATGGAAAAAGGATAATACAAAGATATATGAAATAAATATATCTTCATTAGTAGTAAAAATGTCTCGAAATACATTATTACATTTATTTCTTAGGACATAAACGCTAACAGATTATGAATCTGAAAGTTCAAGCAATTGAGGTGACTTTCATGAAGTTTTACATTAGAAAATGCTACTAAAAACTTGTAATTGACGTCACTTGACATTCAAAAAGATCTTGTAAAAGTTGTTGCGGTTGAAACCATTTATAGTAACAGAACATTAATGTTATTATGAAAGATATTGGTGAAGAATTGTTTGCTATTCTAATTGATGAATAGCGTGACAGTTCAATTGAAGAGCATATGACTATTTTATTTCATTATGTGAATAAGAATAGGCACGCAATTGAATGTTTTGAAGGGACTGAACATGTTACTAATACCATAACATTATCGCCTAAGACTGCTATTGATAAATTATTTTCAAGACACGGATTAAGTGTATCTAGATTATAAGGCCAAGGCTATGATTGGGTAAGTAATATGTAAGGTGAGATCACTGGGTTCAAGACATTTGTTTTGAAGGAAAATCTAAGTACTTTTTAGTTGCTAGCATACTAAATGTTGTTGGAGTTCATCAAAGTTATGATGGTGTACCACCTCAAGGAATTAATCAAGATTAATTATATTAATTTAAATTTATTAGTGTGTCTAATCTGATATAATAAATTAATCATGTTCATGACATGCTTTCTAATGTTTAAGTTTAAATGTTTATGAGGGATTTAAATATTTTCAATATTTATATTTTCACCCCGGAAGTGTATAGGGGCGCATTTTCTGGTATACTTTCCTAAATATCTTTTGATGTTTATCTTTATCTTTATCTTTATCTTTATCTTTTTTTCTCTTTTATTTTATTTTCTTTTTCCCTTTTTCTCTCACTCTCCCACGTCTCTCTCTCTCTAGACCTCTCACTCTCTCCCTTTCTCTTCTCTCTCAATTTGGCTCAAAAGGGAGCTTTTGACCAAGAAACTTGAACCAAAAAGGAACTTTAAGAAGTTTTCAACAACAAAGGAAGGATTTGTAGTAAGATTTCTGGAAATATTCTCTTGAATCTTGAATTTTTCATTTGAAAAAACTTATTTTCAGTTCGAATTGACTTTTGATGGTTTTGGTGGAAATCATGGTGAGATTTGGAGAAATTTGATTCTTTGGACTTGATTGAGTATTTAGAATCTAGATTTGTTGTTTCCTTTGAAAATATTTCAGAATTGAACTCGAATGTACAAGTTTCGGCTCTGTTTTCTTCGGATCGGCCATGTCGGCTGATCTGTCCAGCTCCCACCAGTCGACCGGTCCCTTCTCCACTGGCCGAGCGGTGGAGATGAACCTCTCTATCACTGGTCGACCGGTACACACATGGTTCGGCCTTATTTTGCCTAAAAATGTTGTTTTGACCCCGAATTTAAAAGAGAACCCAAATTAGCTTCATTTGGGAACGTAAAGTAGATGGATTAGCATCTTTAATCCATATTTTGAGATCAAAATCCTTGGAATAATGATTTGAATCATGAAAGGATTTATGAACTTGGAATTGGATTAAGGCACACTAATCGGAAATCATTGAGTATGATTGAGCTTGACTTATTTTAGGATTAAGGATTGCGTCCTAAAACGTTGTTTTGTGACAATGTTAGTTGAGGAATCGGATTAGAAACTTTGAAGGAAGCGGAGGCTAGGATTCCGAAAGGCTAGCCATAGGTTTGATGTTCAAAATGTAGGATTTCTTGTCTTTTTCTTTGTTAGTCTGTTTTAAGAGTTTTTTTGGCCTATATAAATGTTTTAAAGAAAGGACATGGTTGATAAAGAAAATGTTTTGAAACAATAGATTGATTGTTGCTATTGGAATCATAATGAACTGTTCTAAAGTTTTAATGACCATTTTCTTAAGATAATATATCTTACGAACTGGTAAGCCCGCTGATGGCCTAGATAGGATATGTAGAGTGTATCATCGGGGGCAGAACCCGAAACCTGGACCGGGCCACTACGGTGGTGTTAAGGCTTGTGCATATGGTTGTGTAAGTAATTTATCATAGTTATAAATTACTTGCTAATGCCTAT